CAGGGGCTCCTTGGCTTGCTTTGTGTTTGACTGCAGGGACAGAAGGGATCCAAGAAAAAGCTCATGTGCAGCTGTCCCTCAGGCCAGCCTCTAGCTGCATGGGCAGCTATTACAGCCTAACTCCTGATACTAATTGGAATGTTTCCAAAGTATTGACACAAACAGTGATATAAAATCACATAGGTAATCTCTACACCTCATTTGATCTGTATAGAAGCAGGGAGACAGAAGAACAGGTTTTGGGGATGCATCTCTTTTTATGAGAGAAGTGGGAAGCCGGCACAGCTGGCACAGTGAATGAAGAAACAGCTGAAGGTACTGTGCCCCCCTGGACACTCCTCTCTCTTCTGCCAGCTCACGATGCATTTCTGCAACACGGTGCTTCCCTGACTGACCCCTGATTGCACCCTGAGCTCTCTGACTTTCTCCATTCCACCATCTGAGTGACACATATATGAAAGACATACACTGGAGGCCATGTGTATTTTCTGGGAATTTGTCCTTTCTTTTTGGCTGAGAACAAAACTCAAATTTCTTCCCCTTCACAGTTCCACTGTGAAGACTATCACTTGAATATCACATGGCTCCCAACCACAGTGACATGCAAGATACACCAAAATATCACAGGAGATGCCCCAAGAAAACTCCAGGCCTCCCAGGAGGCAGTAGGAAACTCACCATTGCCATTCCCTGGTGATCAGCGGGCATGATGAGACAGTTGTTTGCATTTTCTATGCTTATTTTTCTATTACTAAAGTGGGATTAACAGTGTTCAGCAACAGCTTTTGAGACCTACAAATTCTTCCTGTGCTGGAACAGCATCCTGAAGACCTACTTTTCTCTAAATTAAAAAAAAAATTCTTTCATTAACTCCTTATTGCAATATAGTTCTCATATTCTTAAATTCCAAAATTTGCTAAGCAAGCACATAGCACAATAAGAATTTCAGACACTACAAAAATACTAATAATTAGAACAAAATTGCTTCAGCTGTGTTTTTTGTGGTTTACTTTGTTCCCTAATGAATTTTGAGGAAAAAAAAATATTTTTCCTGCAACCTTTTTTGCTTTCAAGTACTTTTTTAGAAAAAAAATCTATTTTCAGTATGGGTGAAATTCATCATACTATGACAGGAAAGCAAAATTGTTTCATTTCGTAAGATCTTCTAACAGCATGAAGCTAACCCCATGGTCTCCAAGACAGACATTCTGCCAGCTATAGACTTACAAAGAGTCAGCAGAGAAAAAGAAGTTTCTCAGATGGAACTGTTAGCCATGATATGAAGAATGTGTGTCCCCTACAGATGTTATAGCTATTTATATGATAAATCCTGATCATCACTATAGGAATTTTACAGCCTTCTTTTAAGTTAATGCTCAAGTTCAAATTAATCTTCTTTTGACAATGTTTGCCTAATATTTCAGTGTTGGACAACATTTCGAGGGTTACATTTACAGTCAGCCTACTGGGCACTTTTAAAGCTGTATTCCAGACTTTGTAGTTGCTTCAGAAAGACTTCTTTTAATTCTTCAACGCTTCACAAATATTTCTAGGAAAGACAAGTACAGTAAGCACTGACAAATTCTTAACAAGGGCAGATCTAGACTTGTGGAGTTAACTGGAATTAACATCAGCGTTAATTTAGCGCATGCAACAGGTTGTAGAACAACTCCCTGGAAGAACATACTCATTCTAGAACAAAATTACCTCATCCTCACATTCAACACTTGAACTGTTTTGAGATAAACGTGAGATAAATGAGAACAAAGCAAGTTTGTTCCTGTTTGAGGGGTCATTGGTTTACTCAGGAATCACAGTCTGGGGAATTCAAAACAAAATGAGGGATATGAAAACACCTTAAGGTGTCCCCAAGGAGCTCAAGGTTGCATAAATATAGAGTCATTGGTGTCAAATAGCAGCAGCCTTTTTAAAACCAATGCTACATTTACACACTTCAAAGGCCCATGTTATGCAGGACCTGGTTTTACCTAGGGCATTGCAGCCCTCCATACCAGAGAAAGACATTTTTATGAGAATGCCTCTCTGCCATCACCAACACATCCTTCCACTCCCTGCCTACACCATCCTGTTCACGCAGAGGCAGCCAGAGGTCTGGGCTTTTTGTCTGGTTTTGGAAAGGGATGGTAAACTCTGAAACAAAATCAAAACAAAAACAGTGGGGAAACAAAGCCCGTGATATTTCACTTAGGTGGTACATGTTGACTTGACCTCAGTATCTCCACTTCATTTCTCTGTTCTCACACACTAGGAATAAAAGATAAACTCTTAAGTGCTTGCACTGTCTGACTATGAAGAAAAACTTGGTGGAAGAACCGAGTCCTGTCCCTATAGGTGGACGGCTGCTGCACTTTTCACAAAGATAGGGATTTTTTCCATCCTTGGTGTTGCTGGCCATGAAGTGTGCTTCGAGGATATGGTGTTTCTCCAATTTATATATTTATTTTTAAAAAGCCATTTATATTGTGTGCTTACTCTGTTTCTTCTACTATCTTTTAACATCTACCCTTGTTTTTTACCTGAGACCTGTGCTTACAGAGGCAGCACTGATCAGACCAAGGTGGTTAAACCTCAGTGATTCTCAGTTCCAAGTACATCATTTGGGGCAAGGAATAAAATGAGACCAGCAGGCCAGGCTGGCTTGGCCAGCCACACACATTGGCAATCCACAATGGGTCACTATGTGAGGAGCCTTAAACACCATGAGGGTGGCCACAGTCCCATGACAAGAAAGCCTGAAACTATTTCAATCAAAAACTCACCCAGGGATTTATTTAGGGGAAAGGGATCACAAACAGAAGAGGCAAGTGGAGCTCTGCAAAAAAAGGAGGACTAAATCTAAGAAACTGCTCAGCTCCAGACCTCCCCATACTGTATGTCTGAGGGTAAACAAAGTATTTGACATTCTTGGTACCTGCTGATGCTGACACTCAGCAAAATAACATTAATCACCTGTTGCAGAGAATTCTTGTGCGCATCCAGAGAATACTTGGGTTCAGTAAAAAAAGTGGAGATAGAGAAGATCCTGCATCTTTTGCTGCTCATTTACATTTATGTTTTTTTTGTGTAGTCTCCTGTAAATGGTCTTTACTTCCAAATCTTTTTGCAAGCTCTGTGTGCTCTGTGCTCTTGGGGAGATAAAACCACATCAGGCGTTCACAAGTCCAGAGCTCTGACCTTGTAAGAAGAGTGCCTCAGGAGCACCTTCAGATGAGCAGAGCATGGAGAGCAACTCCAGTCCTCTGGTGTTTGGGCAACCATGCTTTCCAACACCGCTGAGATAGACAGATTGTGCCCAGAACATGGACCCAAACTCAAGGAAAGCAAGCCTGTGGAGCCCGCCCAGATGAAGAGGAGACATTTAAAAGCTCATGCTCACCCTACAGAGTCCAATCACAGAGGCCTGCTGACACTTAATGAGTGGGCATTCACCATAGCTGCAATAGTGCCAAACTTCTATTACTGCTCCGTGCTCCCTAGGAAATACCACACCCCTGCCTCCATGCCAAGGGGCTGGCACGCAGAACAGTCACCTAACAGAAGAGCTGCTTCAAAAGAGAAAGTCATAAAACAGTTTGTAGCTTAATTCACCAAGCAAATCGAAATTCTGCAGAGATCATTTTCCCCTCAAAAGACAAGTGATCCATTTGACATTCTGCTCCACACCCTCGTCAGCCTAGTGACTAGTAAAAGAAAGAGGGCAATGGCAGACAATATGTGAAGCTACCCCTCCATGTAAAACTGACTCAAGAAGCAATCTTGGCACAGAGTGCATTCAAGCAATATTTAAAGCAAATAACCTCAAAGTCACAGACTAAAATCATAGTATAAGGGAGATGACTCAAGTATACAAGATGTAGGAGTTGTCTATATAAATGCTTCCTGCTGTAGATTTCACTTCCATATAGTTTCAAAGATAAAAATCTAATGTGGAAAGAAAAAGCAATGTAATACCTCACATTTCCAACCCAAACCATGTTCTAACTGGGATAAAAGGAAACATGCTATTTAAGAAATACTCTGACTAATATAAATAGTAAAATTTTTATCACTCTAAGCAATTATAATCACTGTGTTATGCACACTATATAGAAGGCAACATTGGCCTAAATACAAAATTGTCATAATAGTATCAGGTTTTTTGCTTAAAACAGTCTTTCATCTGAACAATGAACGTATTTTGAATTACCTTGTCAGGCAATGGACATTTCAACTAGTTTCAGGAACACAGCCTATTCTTAATTTGCTATTGTTTAACTTTAAGGAACACCCAGCAATAGTTAACCAAATAAATAGCAGTCTGATATTAGGATCTCTGTTTTTTCCCCCAACTGTTCCCCTGTTTGCTGTCCTGTGTTTTTGTCTTGTTAGCTACACATTAACCTGTTAGACTGACCTTCACTTCCCTCCCAATCCCTACAACACATTAAAATTCTTTAAAAAGACAGCTTGAGAGAGACTGCCTTTTGGTTAAACTTCCTAAAGCGAGCTCTACAGGCTGGTCTGGCATGCATTGTGTACATGCATCTGTCACGAAAATTTGATGACAAATCATCTGTTTCCTGACAGATAGGCTGCACTGACTTCAAATTCCCATGAAATGCCTTTGTCCATGAGGAAGAAAAACACTCTCCTTTAAAGTAGTGATCATTCTCAAACTTCACTTCAGTCCTTCATTTGCTTTAGTCTGTATTATCATTTATTTGTACTATAATTTTTCTGGGTCAATTAAAGCCTGTCACAAGATACATCTTCCTGATCATCTTTTGGGAAAATGTAAAGAGACAGGAACTAATGAAAGGAATGAAAGTAAATGTTTCACAGTAATAATGCTGTTTTCAGAGGGTGAGAAATGAAGATCCTTTTAAGACTGACCTACCCCAGTTTGTTTAAAACTAAGCTGAACTTGAACTGATAAACTACTCTTTTGAGATTAGCCTGAATAGTGTACATTCGGCAAAACACTGTAAATCTAAACATACCTGAATTGGAGTCAAACTTTGTTTCTGACCTGCAAAAGAAAATGAAAGGATCGTAAGTTATAAGAATTGCTTTATGCCATAAAAGACATTTGTTAGATCAATCCCCCCCCAGCAAATACTGTCTTTAACAAGACTGTCTACCTCTGCATATTAGTATTTAATGCATTCAAGGGGCATTTGGATCCAAAGAACAATTATTATCTTCAGTATTTTGAGGGCCTTTTACAATGCAGAGTTACAAAGAAAATATTTTAAAAGACGAATCACAAAACGAATGCAGAAAATAGAACTCAAATTTAAACCAGGATTAAATTACATGCTGTGAATCATGGCACACAGTTGTTCCTATGAAATAAATATTGTTTTCATTCATTTTCATTTCTGAAAAGTCATTAAGAGGATTTAATTTATTCATGAATGTTTCCAATCTATTTTTGAAGCAGATACCGTTTCATTAATGTCATATGTATTGTATCCAATGATCTGTACTTAATTGTACAACATCCTAGGAGGGTTTTGTTTGTGTGTGTGTCTTCAATTTACTCACTCTGCACATACGCATAAGTGGTTTGATTTTCTTAAAAGTGGAAAGCGGGGGGTGGGAGGGAGGGATAGAGGAAGCGAGCCAGACCTAAATTTTAACTCGTTTTAAAGTCTTTGCAAGAAGACAATGATGTGTGCATTTTGCACCATTAGCTCTGGTTGTGCACTGCAGATTTTTCTCTCTCTAACAAGTAGTGTTTTCTTCTAAGGGCTTAGCACCTAGCAAATGAACCCTATAACCTGTATATTTAATAAAAGGAAGAAAAAATTAGCCCTTGTGGGAACATCATGTTTCAGACATAGGTTAATAATACTTGTAAATGTAGAAGCCTTTGAAGATCTTAATTCAACTGTGGGAAAACTTAAGTTGGGTAATTACTCTCAAGATGCTGCTGATGTGCTGTCAAGCAGAATTAAGCCCATGACTAGGCCTATCTACACAATCTGCTATAAGACAGCATTGTCTATATCGAGCTCTCAAACCAATTAACAGGCATGTTCCAATCAGATTTATATTGCCCACTAACAATCAGTCGTACACGTGGTCATGGCTGTCACAGCAGGACACAAGGTCTGACCAGCAGGAGACCTGTTAAAGGATGTTACGTTGGCAGCAAAATGCATTTCCCCAGAAATTCTAAGGAGGAAGTACAATGTTGGATCCTTTTACATTGCATCAAGGAGGGGATGTATTTTGGGAAGTTACAGTCCTTTTTTTCAAAAATAAATGGATGAAGCTCAAAAACTAGTTGCAGATTTTTCTTCTTTTATTTTACAAGCTTGTACATGCAGGTACATGTAGATGTATTTTACACGTACTCTGTGTATTTTATATAATTGGCATTGTAGTCCCTACCAAAGATCTACGCTACAGAAAACAAATATCAAATCAATCACAGTCTAAAAAATTAGTAAGTTCACACTGTTAGTCACAGTAAGGCAAAAACTCCCTTCTTCCTTCCTTCTCGTTCTCAACCTTCCCCCAGTGCTCATGGTCTTTTACGTCTTACATATAATGTTCAGGCGGTGAAAAGATGGAAGGGGAAAAAACAAAACTTATCTTCCTAATTGGTACACGTGAAGTACCACCAAAAGCACTGAATAAAGAAAGTATGTTGCTGACATGCCTTCAAGAGTGTCGCCACCACTAACTGCCCACGGCACCAGCCCAAGCTCCTGTTTGGCAGCACGTATCATTATTTATGCGCAGGAGGATAAAGTCCCTACTTTGTGAAAAGTGCGTGCTGGCAGGAATTCCACTGAGTTCCAGGTAAAGCAACTTACTCAGTATTTTATTTACAGTATTCTCCTCAAGCTGCAGTATATCTGTCCAGACTGTTTTCTCTTGCTTATCACTGTTTCCAGCAACACCTCGCTACTTAGTCAGAGACAACGTACAGATCTTATACCCAGCATCTGTTTATTTGCACAGTCAACTTCTCACTGTCTAAAATCTAGATACTTGGTATTAGTTGGTCAAACAAAGCTCCTAGTCCTCAGCCTGGATGGCTGGGTATGGACATGTGCACTGTGACTTGCGGCACCAACAAACAGGTCCAGGGGCCAAAACGGCAGAGAGTGCATGGGGAGGAGGGTCACAAGGGTCACTGGGGACTGTAATGAGTACCAAAGCTCCAGTCATAAATTACTGGATAACAAAGCAGAGAACTGATACAGGGCAGTACATGAATGGAACTCTGGCAGCAGCAGCAGAGTAGCTATGAAAGGAAGCACAACATGAGAGGTAGAACTAGCAGCCATTGAGAGGAGAAGGATCACCTGCATTATGGTCATCATGTCACCTTGGGAAAACAATGCAAAATTTAGGACACAGTATTACAGTATCATTTTAAAGATCTTAGAAAGGCACAGAAAAAAAGGGAAGAAAATAATGCAGCATCTTTGGCATTGCAAATAAGCCACAAGTAGTGAATGTGAGAAAAGCACTCTGCAACTACACCAAGTCATCCTGACTCCCTGAAGGAATGAGAAAGCTTTCAGCAACTTCAATGGAACTAGCACTTTTCTCCCTAAATACTTCCAGCATTTCCATATTTTTCTTGACAGTATGCTAAACAAAGGTATCAGAAACTAGCTGCACCTAGGTGTTAAAGATATGCAACTAAAAAATGGCCGATAAATAGGATAAAATTAAATACTGAAAGTACATCCCAAAGTGGTGTTCTGCTGCACACAAAAATATTCACTCTGACTCCTTTATGCTCTCAAAATTACATTAACTACAAGGAAAAACTTCTCTGCACATTTTTTGTTATCACTGTACATACTCTGATATTGAACCTAAGTCTCCTACCAGACAAGATGCACATTTGTGCATACACTAGCTCTGTATTTTCTCTACTTTTGCCCCATAGGAATACTCTGAAAGTCAGGGAATCACTCATAAATATCTTTGGAGAGGAGTCTATATGCATAAAGAGAGCAAGAGGGTATTTATAAAGTGCTTTCCATTTCCAACTGTGTTATGACTCAAATACACACAACACATGGCAATACAAATGCCAAGTAGCTCATCTCCCAACACACAATATTCAATGAAACAGTAAGCTAATGGAGAGGTTCAGATAAGCACAAGGTGCCACAATACTTTTAAAGATCCAAGATATAATCAAAGCAAACACACACAATAAAATATGTGATGGTCACTTTATCTGTACTGCAAAGAGGTGCAGGATTCTGAGCTGTTCCTTTTAAAACGCACCATAAACCAGATGTTCAGGCTGCTAAATACTGAGAAAGAAATGGAGTAATGATAATCAACATGCTTTCCTACAGTGTCAATTTTAAACTACTGCCTTCCAAAGTATGGCTTAACTTCAATATTTCGGTGCCACATACTGTGTGGTATGACCAGACATGCTACAGCTGAAGCTAACACAGATCTGCTACATGCTAGTGGAGCGGGGTTTTGGCAAAGGAGAAGGGAAAGCG